CAGCAAGTCAGAAATGTAATTAGCCTCTTGCCGGGGGCCACCTCCGCCCACAATTTTTTTCTTTTTTTTTTTTTTTTTTGTAGTCATGTAAATCACATCGAAGTCAATCACTTGAGGAAATGACGGCAAAAGTACCGTTGGTCAGAAAGAAAATATTTTGTTGCCGTTCACGCTTTTGGAAAAAACATTCCGAGGTCGCGCGTCAGGTGATAGCGTCCAGATGGGGCTGCGTACTGACGGAAGAGTCAAGTTGACGAAAACATAGTCAGGGAAAGTCAGAGGTTCACACGGGACCGTCGAATTCCCGTTCATTTCTTGTTCCGGGATCGTCTTACGTGATTCAACAGCAACAACAACAGCGACAAAAATGGACTCCTGGAAAAACGGCGGCGCTGCCAAATATATCCAAAAAAAACGGGAATTCAAGAATATCAGTCAGTCACGGCGCATGCCTTCTACGCGCCAAGCGCAACATTGTTGTGTCATGAATTTCTTACCCAAACTTGTCTCTTTTGCTTTCTGCCCAAAAAAAACATTCCTAGCACGTCTAGTCCTTGAGATGTTTTCATTTTTTTTCCTGAGTTTGACCGATAAAAGTTTGCGCAATATGAATCTGAACATGTGTCTTCATTTTTTTTTAAAAAAAGTGGTTGCAAAAATAAATGCCCCCCCCCTTGCTGAGCTTTACCCTCAATTCACAAATTGTCAACTTGTGCGACGGTAGACGACCCATAAAAAGCAGGGAGGCAGGAGAAACAGGGTGTACCGAACAAAACAGGAGAGCATGCTGGAAAAAAACGAAATCAAATACACAAGCAAAGTCTTGAGAAACCCCCCCAAGAACTCAAAGCAACAAACAAACAAGAACTCATGACAGCCGCACAACGATCGGACGCCGAGTGGTCGCCATGGCAGCCCGTTCAACCGAAAAGAGCGAACGACATGAAGACCGACGGGTGTCACTCTGGAGGAGAAGCCCTCCAATGCCACCTGTTGGTCACAAACGGAACAGAGCTATGACATCAATATCACAAAAGACATTGTTCGATTATTGTTGTTATTATTATTATTAATTTATGATTGATTGTTCTGAAAAGCTGATGTGCTTGAGAAAAAAAAATGATGGCAGATTCAGAATCAGCGCAACTAAAGTTAAGCTCTGATGAAAATCTCGAGGACGATTGTGTGATGACACACATTTTTTGGGGGTCTCGCTGCAATTAGCCCATTTGGAGGGGGCAACCCTATCTGGTGCAAGCGAGTCATCGGTCGCCCCGCTTGAACAACTGCCGGGCCGGGCGCCAGCGCGAACTGCCAAGCGCCCGCTGATGATCCGTCGCAAATCGTAACATTCTCCGCAAAAATCAACATGGAGCTTATTTTATATGTTGAGCCGGCGAGTGGTGAAACAACATCTTTGCCTTTTCACCGTGTCATTTTCTTGATATTGCCACGATGCTAAAACCACGAGGAGCTTGGCCCCAACAATGAGAAGAAGCAAGAGAACCGTTTAAACCTGCCCCCCCTCCCCACCTCAAAAATAAATGAGGATAAAAGATGCCCCAATTAGCATCGTATTTCTGAAGGGATGTCAGTGGTGCCTGCAAATACGCAGCATGGCTGCTCATGCACGAACACTTGCGTGAAGTGCATCGGATCTTTTGAACTGCTTCACAAACTTTTGTTTTAATTCTTTTTTTGCACGGTGGGGGGGGGGGCTTTCAGGTCTTGCGGCGTTAATGATCACATTTGGGTTTACGGCACATTTTGGATTGCGAGGTACGCGTTGGCAAACTGGGCCCGTCGAGGAGCCGGCTCACAGAAACTTGCCTTTTTTTTTTTTTGGACTCCCTGATTATTTGGCCATATCCAGTTTGACCAGACGGTGTGCGGGAAAACCAACAAAAGGCGTTGATACCTTTGGATCTTCTCAGTTGTGGGTGCTTTGCGGTTGCGTTTGCGCTCACCTGAGGGCATCGATATGCAATTACAAACCCCTTTGCAGAGTGTGGAGCTTGAATGCAACTCCCGGGAGGTCCCCATTCCCTGAGAAGTCTCCTTGAAACTTGTACGAAGAACCCAGGCTAAACTTAGCTCCCCCACAACATACAGTTTTGCTTTACTGCCTTATGGGAATATTTTTGTGCCGAGAGAAATCAATTCAAATCTGACCCAAAATGACCTGAAATAGAGCAGAAAAAAAAAAAAGAATCCGCAACAGAATCGAGAAGAGATCGTTACACTCATACTGTGTGTGCGTGCGCGCAGTGAGAACCCGGGAGACCCCCCCCCCCCCCCCCCCCCCCCCCAATAGCTGAGATAAATTGTAACGGCCATTTCTGTGAAATTGTCTGTGAGAAGTGAATATCAGTCCAAAGGCTCGTTTGTTTACGGCCAACTTGGACTTTTCTTCGTTGGCCTCATGAGGTTAAGTGTCCTCAAGCTGTGACGGGGCTCAAACAGGCAGTCCTTTGTTTCGTTTATATAAGGGCTTTTCCATGCACATGTCTTCTCTGTTCAAACAAAAAAAAAAAGTTCATAGCTTGATTTTGGAATCAACCTACTTTGCTTGCACGGTCAGTTTTTAGAGCTTTTTAGAACATCCGTGGTCAAAAATATGTCAATTAGCCACACCCTGCCCCTTGTGACAGCAATCAATTTTGCCCATCCTCCTCCCCCCCTCTCAAAAATGCAAACGTTATTGTTTTTATTCTTGTTAAAAGGAAACAGAATGGCCGACGTGTTGTTTGGAACCAACTCAATTATGCTTGGCCACGCTGGATGAATGGATTTCTATAGCCTTTTTTTTTTGGGGGGGGGGGTGCATTTTCTGAAAATGCCTCCGGCCACTCATAATGGCAGTGCGCATTTTGTTGCACTTGGTCATCCCTGGACATAAACATCTGCCACCGATCGAGGCCCAAAGCTTCACGTCTGCGCAAAAGGATCCCTCAAGCTCAAACTGCAATTTGCACAAACACAACATTGCATGACAGCAGCAAAAAAAAAAAAAAAAAAAAAAGATCAACTAAATCGTGCTTTTATTGTCTTTTAGCCCTCGGTTACTTCTCAGAAACTGCTCGTGGTTCAAATTTACCAATAGTGTCAGAAATGATCAACAAAACAAATCTTGCTTCTGTCTTATCATTCACGAGACAATTTGTATCAATATTTTTAGTGCACTTAAATAAATGCATCTAACTCCTTAGTTATTTGCATAAGTAATAATAAAATATATATTTTTTTAAATGCAAAAAAAAGTGTTCAGAGCTCACCTGTTCTGCCCTTGCCACGTCCCCGCTGCGGCTGTTGCCAGACAGCCAACTCCTTCAATGACCACATCTGTCGAGGTTTCTTGCAATTTATTCGCCGCAAAGGCGAGTCAAGAAGGTGTAAAACTGGAACACACACATTAAAAACACTTACATGCTGTTGCAAAATAAAACGTGGCAAAACGAGGTGACCCCTCGTCTGGTACGTGACGAAAGCGTGACTGCGCTCGTGTTGCTTTACGTTCGCTAGCCAACGTGCTAATCGCTATCGCGAATGCTAACAGTAAACAACTGCAATGTGCCTCAAATGCAAATTCACGGTGAACGAATTAATAATGCACAAATGTACAAAATACAGACATACAGGCCGTGCTTGGCTCAGAACACGAAGCTGTCGTCCATCTTTCGGAGCTTCCCGTACAAACGCAAAACAGTTAGCGTCTCACGTAACAACATCCGGTGTGCCTTTCACAATAATAAATTGACTTTACAAAATAACGTAGCTATGTAACGATAGAAACATAAAACTAATATTACATGGATCTTCAGGAGCCAGAATATGACCGATAAAACAATTTGCAAAAACGTGGAATGAAGAATTTTCATCGGATGTGTGCAGTCCACTACTTGCACAGTTAAAACACAAAAGCTATCAAGCAATATTGAGACAAAAGTAGATCTACAGTGCCCGATAGCAGTCTGTCTGGTTTTGGGAACAGCGTAACAAACATGAAAGTCAGAGAGATAGCTGCCAATGGGTTGAAGAAATGAGCAATGTTTTGAACGATCGAGGGAGGTTTTTTTTTTTTAGGGTTCTGGGAGGCCTTGGATCGCTAAATTATTGTCAATACATCTTCATCAACACACAAAATAGTGTTTTCTGGCATGGCACGTCGGCCTCACAGTGCAGAAGTGCAGGGTTCGATTCCAGCTCCATCCTTCCTGTGTGGAGCTTGCATGTTGTCCCCCGTGCCTGCGTGGCTTTTCTCCAGGTGCTCTGGTTTTCTCCCACACTCCAAAAAAAAAAACATGCATGGCAGGTGAATGGAACACTTGAAATTGTGAATGCGGATGGTCGTTCGTCGATGTGTTTCCTGCGATTGGCTGTCAACCAGTTCAGGGCGTACCCCGCCTACCGCATGAAGATGCCTGGGATGGGCTCCGGAACACCCGCGACCCTCCTGAGGGGAAGCAGTTCAGAAAACGGATGAATGGATGGTCTATCCAACATGAAAACCACAAAGCCACGGAGGCTTTTTTGGAACTCTAACGGATGCTTTTCTCAAACCTCGCTGCTCCCTTCTAATAATAAATCTGTTATACCATTTTCAGTGGCGAAATTGCTGTTGTTATCACACACTCGATCCACGTGATCATCAGAGCGGGAGAGAGAGAGAGAGGGGGAGAGAGAGAGAGAGAGAGAGAGAGAGAGAGAGAGAGAGAGAGAGATTGATCCGCCAAACTCAGAGCACAGTCACCATCCACGCAGGACAGCAGCGTGCGCATCTTCCACCCGTGGATTTTCTTCTTCTTGTTGATATTGCCGTGCTGGGATTCTTTCCACAACCGCATCACTCGTACAATTGTCGCCTCTGTTTTGTGGGATCACTCTCTACCATCCGTCTCTTCCCTGCCCTCCTTCCCCGCGAGCATCACCCTTCCTCGGATAACTTTTCCACCCCGAACCGAGCCCCCGCCCGACCGCCGGCCCCGTTCGCAGGTGGAAAAAAAAAAGGGATCTCTTTGATGGGGCGCGCGGTGCGGTTTGGAAAATGCTCCGCCGTCGGCGTGTGAGCGCCCCGCGGAAGCAGCCGGGATCGGAGTCGCTGTCGTCGGCGCGCGTCTCCCGCTGCTGCCGCCGCCGGAGCGGCAGCGGCAGCGGTAGCCAGTGAGTAGCCAGCGAGCAGGCGGCGATGGCTCGTCCCGCGGCGGCGGCGGCGGTCGAGCTCGGGCGGCCGCGTCGCTGGAGCGGCGCCAACGGTGGCTGGCTGCGCATCACGCTGCTCTCCTTCCTCGCCACTTTGCCCGTGGAGCAACTGCGCGCCTTCCCGTCTTCCCTCAGCGACTGCCAGACGCCCACCGGCTGGAACTGCTCGGGTGAGGAATCGGTGCGCGCACGAACGAAGGAGTTGAATCGGAAGGGCGACGGGGATGCGTGCGTCGCTCCGCGCGGGCTTCGGGCGCCACCGATTGGCGCTTGGGAAGGCGCGTGGTTTCGTTGCCGATGGGAGCCGCGTGCTGGATGTCACGTCGCTTGCCATCCGTCGACATGTTGGGCGGTATGCCGCATCGAACTCCGCTGTTTTGCTCGCGGGTCAAATTGACCCGGAAATATCTTGGTCACTTGGTGACTCCGGAGATCTTCTGAGGCACAGGCGGTCACATTGACCCAATGAGTGTTTCTGGTGTGGGGGGAAAAAAACAGAACAAAGAAATAAAAGCGGGTCACGGTGACCCATGAGCATGTGTGGAGTAGCCTATCCAAGAAGCAAACTTTTTGGTGTGTGTGTGGAAGACACAAACTAATAGTGGGTCAAATTGACCCATGAGCATTTTTTTGGGGCGTATAAAGTACCCAATTAGTCACTTGGACCCATGAATATTTTTGGTCGTGCAAAACAAACAAATGAACTGGGTCACATCCACCCATGAGCGTTGTAGTGTCGCTATTAATGTAACAAATTAGCAGCAGGCCGCATTGACCCAGGAGCCTTTTTTTTTTTCTTTCTGCACAAAAGATACAAATTAACAGCGGGTCACATTGGCCCATGAGCATTATTGGCGTCCAAGTATTCCACCGTGCTCGGACAGTCGTATTTCGGAGCTCACACAGCCAGTCGCATATTTCCCCAGTTGCCCGTCCGAAGCCTTAAAATAGCCCCGGGCCGATTACACGCCACGCCACTATTGATATTACAGCTCATAAGTGGCGCACGTCAATATGAGCGGATGACTTGCAGCCTGAATCCGAGCATTTGCTTCTCTCCCTCCCCCGCGGCCTGATTGTTATCCCGGTGCACGCGGGCTGCACAAGCAAGTGCAAAAAGAAGAAGGGGAAAAAAAAGCTCGTAATTGGATCTGGAAAATGTGCGGATGCTGTGAGACCAAATGGCTGACGTGTCCATTTGGGAAACTGACGGGCAGTTCATATTCCTCATGTCTCAAGTTTTCTCTCTCACGCCTTTTGTCCTCATCACCGCACTGATTCATCTTCGTCGTGTTTTGTTTGTTTGTTTGTTTGTTTGTTTTTGTGATTGCGATGAGTGGTAACGATCGTGGTGCACATCCTGGCCGAATGCACACTTGCCGCTCTCCTCACTTCCTTTCACACTCTCGTGTGCATTTAGACAAAAGCTTTTATCCGACACGCCTTGCGGAGGCTTAAGTGCAGACGAGGGGGAACAAAGCGTGCGCACGTCCCTTCCATCGAGTGGAATTAGATGAATTCTTTCTCTCTCTCTCTTTCTTTCTCTCTCTCTCTCTCCCCCCCCAAAAAAAAAAAATCACATGGATTGAGCTGCATGTTGAATGGTGCTGTGGATTTGAATTCTAATTATGGCGAAATTCAGCAAATATTGATGATCCCCCCCCTAGACATGGCTCCTTGAGACTTTTTCGTCATGGTACACGTTTGCCCAAAGTCGTGTCATTTGCTGGTGTCAGGGGCTGTTTTTTTTTGGGGTTTTTTTGAGGGCCTTTATGACATTTTCATTTCACGGCAAATCACGATATCATTGTCATCAGTGAAGGAATATGTCACGGAGGCACAATTTATCACTTCACAGTCACAAATTCGCCACATTTTTCACTTTCAGTTTGGTGGAAATAAAGCTTTTATTTTTACTGGGCAGCTTGAAAAAAAAAAATACAAGTCGGTGACAATTTGAGGAAGTTCTCTGCCGTCCGAAGTCCAAAAAAAAAAAATGAGATGTTTCGGTGGAAGTATGCAAAGGGACACAGTTGTAATGACCGGCTCCCTCTACTGCGGGGCCGACGCCGACCACAGCTGTCGTCGTGGAAACGCAGCTGCGAGCGGTCGAATGAGACTCCCACGAGGAATGAGATGAAGGAGGTCGAAATGTGATTGGAGTTTGATTTCCACGCAGTTTGCTTCGCACTGCTCGAGTGCTCCGGTGTGAAAGCTTCATTCAAGCAAAGGCTTTGTTTACACTTGACACATTTTATTCTCCGGAGAGATCAAGTGCCGACCGACTTTGCGTCGTGATTTCGTAGAAATGCAAATCTGCGATACCGGCGGGGGCACTTTGCGATCGTGTTTGCTTTGTGACGGCCTTCAAGACGACATCTTATGTGGTTTGCACTTTTTAATGGCCTGTGCCCAAAGAGTTGAGCCCCCCCCCGAGTGTCTGCCCACCCGTCAAGTGTGAAATGACACAATCACCTGTTGTCGTTTTTTTTTTCTCCCCTCAAAAAAATGTGTCTTTTCGTGCTGTTTCCGTAAAGAGTGCTGAGTGAGCAAGTCCTGCGAGCAGGTCTCGGTACGATGCCGAGTCACTCCTTGTCGCTAGCAAATAGCTACGATTCCCTGCAAATATTCTAATCGTGGCTTCATTGTTGTTTATTTCATTTTGTTGAATCATGAAACTAAAATTGGTTAACAAACAGTCTTCGGGGGGAAAAAAAAAATGTTTTTGCCATAAGGCAAAATGCATTTTCATCCTGTTACTCTGCTAAGTGACGGAATAATCGATAAAATGATGGATTTCGAACATATTTGATGGTGACAGCGCTCGTTTCCAGAATGGGATAACGGGTTCCACTTGGCAGCGGAAACGAGCCCAAACATGGCGTCTTGCAGTCAATTCTGTTGCTCTGATAAGATTTCTGACCAAATCTCGCTCGGGGCAAGGGCAAAAGGGCCGAGGAGTGCTTTTCGGAGGGGAGGCATTCCAACTCTTAATTGGGCTTGATTCTGCTCTCCTCTTGGATCCAACTCTGGAGATGTTGTCGGACTCTTGCAGCAAAATGTGTCCACAAGCTGGTCATTAAGTGGAGACCGCTGCACGGCGCTGGTCATTTAGCGCAGGGATTCATTAGAGCCGTCTCGCAAAACAGCTGCCTTCTGCTGCTACTGTCGCCGCTAATGAGTGTGGCGAGCACGGGTGGAAAAAGTGAAAAGTTGTCGATTGTTTGAATGAGATGTGGGGCATATCTGTCGCCAAGATGATCACGGATGCAAAGGCTGATACCTGGAGCATTATTTTCAGTGGACTTCAAGATACAAATATGATTATATTCATGATACGTAATGACATTGATGTGAAGATACCGATCACGTTTATGATTTCTCACAGTAATGGAACGAAGGAAAGCGCTCTTGTGGTGCCCACTTCACAGCAGGATAACTTTACATCATCTCAGCTCCTTATAAACGTACTTTGATCTTCTGCACAGACTCCAGTGAGTCTATTTCTGCTTGTGAATTGTTTTCGAGGGAATGAGGGGAGCCGGGAAGCGAGTCGGCTGTGTTCACGCCCACAACGGCGCAATCACCTATGTCTGTATCTGTGCCCGTCTGCAAAAAGAAAAAGAAACTCCACTCTCCATCCATCCATCCATTTTCTACCGCTTATCTGGGGTGGGGAGACGTTGCCTCTCATGGTGGGACATGCCTGGAACAACTCACCGGGGAGGCGTCCGGAAGACATTCTAATCAGATGCCCGAGCCACCTCATCTGGCTCCTCTCGACGTGGAGGAGACGCGGCTTGACTCTGAGCCTCTCCCGGAGGATTGATAACAGAAATCCTGAGAAACCTGTTGCTGCATTATTATTATACGGACAAAAATAACCCCAAAAACAAAACAAAAAAGGTGCGATGTAGCCGAGAGGTCAGAAAAGGATGACGCCTCGCCTCGTTGCTCGTCGGGCTTTCATGATTAATTTACTTTGCTTAATAATTCATTGGTGCAATGCCGAAAAGGGCCTTGCGAAATTCCAGGTAGGTCGGAGTAAGATGCACTTGGCTGACAGGCGCTCTCTTTTTAGACAAGTAAGTGCTTCTCTTGCCATCTTAATCGTTGCCATCTAAACATGGGCCGTTTGAATATTTGATGTTCGTCGGCTTGTTTTCTTTCATTATTCAGCTTACGGGAATGTCCTCCTGCGGCGGCAGGGCGGGAGGAGCGGGAGTGTCAATCTGCCCGCCTCGTAACACAGCAACCGCAAGCTCATTCCTACACCCTCATTGTTGTTCTTTTTTTTTGGGGGGGGGGGCAAAAAACAACAACAACAACAACAATGATTTGGCTCTTGTTTAAGTGCTGCTTCAAAGGGACACCTGCTGTTGCACAAGCACGCCACCTACTCACCAACGATAGTCGCGTTTGTGTCACCGCTGGAGTTGCTTGTACCTGACAAATGGAAGCATAAAACTTGACAACTTTGCCAATTGGAAATGCATTTTTAAGCCGCGTGCACAGTCGGCACTAAGTAAAAGCAACAAACTCGCATTTTTCACCACGGGAATTCGGGGCACGATGACTTTACGGCGAACGGAAGAGAAAAAAAAAATAAATAGTGACAAAAGTATTGTCACGTAGAAGTCCGATTTTTTCATCCATGCAGTGTGAACGGTACAACTCCAATTTTATTTCTCTGCTGCGCGGATATATCTCGATATGTATGTGAAGCGTCTGCGATATGAACGCTCACCCGCCGACATCCGACCTCCACGTTAGTAAAAGTCCAGCACGAGCTCGGCGCAAGCGGGAGCGAACGCTCGGGATGCAACCGATTGTTGTTGTTTGGAGCGACGGTTGTCTGAATCCCAATTGAATACAAAGCATAACGTTTGTGGTGATTGTCGTCATTCCGGCATGCAGACGGTTCGTTTATCCCGCGCGGCAACGACGTGACATCATCTTTGGTGGACGTCTCTCATGGAATAATTTTTCGGTGCATCACCACCACCGCCACCAAATTGTGTGACGTTTGGTGAATCTGCTTTTGGGTCTTGAAGCTAACGCTAACGTGGGCCCCTCCGAGATTTCCGTACGTACGGCACGGAAAATGTAGCACGTGCCGAGGCCTCCAAATAGGTCGTCAATTAGTCGGAAAAGTAAGCACAGGCATTCCATTTGGGGCATAATTTGGGGAGATTTTAAAAGATTCTCTTGATGTTGGCCAGCAAAGCGACGGCTCACCGAGGAAGGACACAGGAAGCAGTTGGTGCTCCCGTAAGGTCATCGTTGATTCCACGCTCCGCTAGTGGAGCTCATATGTCTTTGTCTTCACATTCCTCTGTGTCCTCCCGTATTCTGCGGAAACACGAGCCGCGCCACCTGACTCCTCTTTTGTTTGTTTATCCGCCTGTTACAAATTGCTCTCAGCTTTTTGTACTGCGAAGGAAATGATGAAGCCGACTCGATGGCGGCATCCACGTAAAACTCACATGTGAGATAAGAAAAACCTCCGGAGGGATATTTGAGCCTCGGCGGCGGTGGGTGGGCTCGTGTGTTTCGGAAAATTCATTTGTACAAATATTTTACCCGAATATTAAAAAAAAAAGGAAAAAAATCCAATCACTGTTTACCCTAATTTGAAGTCAAGAAAGGATGCGGCTTTTCAGAAAGCTGTCACGAAGATGATGCTTGCAAAGATTTTGTCATCATCATTTACTCCTCACAATATTTCCTACCCCCAGCAAGATTGGTAATTATTAGTATTTTTTTTTTTTTTTTTTTTTTACACAACACAGGGAAATCAATGCAATTGCCGCAGCACGTTGTGCGATCTTGACATTTGCGCTCTTGCGAGGCAATCGTGGCTCCCTTACTGCGTTGATGAATCACATTTGATTATGAAGTGGATGCGCTTGCCAGGCGATGTATAATCATGTAAGGGAAGGCCTGCTGCCGCGCTGTGCACAACATCAACCCCTTTGACAGGTACAATAACTAAACGCTCCGACCGCAGCATTTTGTAAGATTGATGCTTGCTTATAGCACAACACAGCATCGTAGATTTTGTGGGCCCTTTTGCAAATACACACACATATAGAAAGAGAAAGAAAGAGAGAGAGAGAGAGAGAGAGGTCAGTGTTGCGCAATCTTGATTTGGCCAAAGTACGTTTTACATCGGAAAAATTCTCACGGCACGCCACCAAACGAAACTATCACAGTCTTTTTAACTGCTCTACAGATAAAGCTCAGTTGAGTATTTGGATAAAATGCATTTCTGCTCAACAGTTCTTATTTTTTGAAACGTGAGCAAGGCATCAAGTTGTGTCGTCTGGTCTCGAAATATCGGCTTCTCCCGGCACGCCACCAAACGAAACTACCACCGTTTTTTTTTAACTGCTCTACAAATAAAGCTCAGTTGAGTATTTGGATAAAATGCATTTCTGCTCAACAGTTCTTATTTTTTGAAACGTGAGCAAGGCATCAAGTTGTGTCGTCTGGTCTCGAAATATCGGCGTCAATCTCAGGGGCCCGCGGGACGGAGTGACGTCAGAAGCACGGTGGCGCTTTTCGTCTGCAAAAAGAGCACGGATGACTGCGCCGGGTTTGTTCAAAACGGATCGGTCGGAACGGCGCTCGTCAGGCTGTCGGCATCAGAGTGCGCAAACAGCTGTTGCGAGCACGCGCTGCTAGCAGGGAGCTGCTAACGCGCGCAACGTGTGTTGTAGTGTACACGTCAAAATAATTTTTTTAAAGCAAGCATCGACTTCAGTACGCAAGCGAGTATGAGTACTTTTTTCCACTTTTGCCAAATATTTTGTTTCGTTTTGGGTGTTATGCTGAGAGCTCGACTGCGTAACAGATGAGTCGCATTTCCAAGCAGCCAACGGCCCTTGATAGTGGACATCATTTGTCGACTTTTTCAGATTTCCTCCTTCGGTCCTCGATGAGCGGAGAGCTTTGTCTCATCCCAGACACTCCAAGCGCCTCTTAAGTCTGCGCTCTTGACTCAGTGACTGTATATTTGCTCAGAGAGCTCGCGCTTTATGGTCATTTACGGCCCTGGCAAATTGCAGGTTGATTTCACCGTCGGTCTACCCTGCTGCGCGTTTATGACTGCTTGGTTGTCATGAGTAGGAGTTTTTTTTTTTTTGGAGTGGGGGTGGTAGTGGTGGTGTGAGCCCTGTGTGTAGTCGAAAGAGGCACAGAGGACTTTTAATATCTATTGTCCAAAGAAATCTATAAAAAGAAAATGGCAGATCACCACATTACTTGGTCGACGGCCAGAATGAACGTTCCCGTGAGCGGGGACCGGTCTCAAGCAGCTACAATTATCCAGCTCAGATTGCCGGTTGTATATCTTGCTAAATAATTTTCAAACTTAACACTCAAACAATGAGTTAAAGTATCATCACGCCGTTATGAGTAACCATTAATTTGTATGACGTATTTTTTTTTTTTTTTCCATATCCATGCCGCAACCATGAGGCGTTCTAAAGCGGTCACGCCAAGCCGAAGCCCAGGTTCACACGCTGGCTGTCAAATTGGACTTGAAAAAATAAATAAATCAATCAATGAATCATTCGTCCCTCATCGCTCTCTCGCCAACACTCTCGGCCAACAATGAGGCACTCTAAAGATGCATTTACTTGTTGTGTAGCTAGCTAGACAACTGCGAGCTGCAATGATAGGGATATCCAATGAGGCAAGCAAAGGCGCTCAAGTTCTTAGTTTCGAGTGAGGAAGGGCCAACCCGGTCCTCGAAATGCGACCCCGAGCGCCGTTTTAACATTCATTGTCGTCTGCGTGCTGTAGAGGAGCTCAAATTGCAAGTAGAGCAATTAATGTGGTTCAGCTATTGTGGTCCCACTAAATAGTCATATTTATTTGCCTCGTTTGCAAATCCACATTCAGATGCAAGCGGCACGCCAGACGATAGAGACTCCGCTTTCTCAACACATTTTGTAACGCGACGTTGTTGTCGTCTAATTGAAACACGCAGACAACGCGCAGCGAGTGCAAAAATTATTTTGACGAAAAGCACGGCACAAACAAGCGCGTCTACAGGGGCCAATGCGGCATCTCAGGAGGATAGCCGCAATCCCTTTGAGGTTCTCATCAAGCGGCTATTCATCAAACAAACTCGGGAGAATAAAGATAATGGCTTTGGGTTTGAAGTACCAAAAAGCAAAATAATGACAACGTGGCTTTTTGGAGGAAGGCTTTTCTAACGAGATTCTGTCCAACGGGCACGATGGCCCGTCTCTCTTGCAACCGTGATTTTGTGCCGCTAACACTTGCGCTTGCTTACACAGGGAGGCTCGCTGAGCGCCATCAGTTGAGCTAGGCTAATAGCCTCCAGCGCAGGCTGCACAATTCTGACTCGTGTTGCTCTTTCATTTCATTCGGGAGGCTTTGATGGAGTCTTTGGAGATTCCCCGCAAGCGCACTATTCCCATCATACCTGCCCGCGAGGGTACATTGCCGGATACTAAGAAAGGATTAAACAAGTATTCATCTGAAAACTACCACCCAGAAATTTGGCATACTCACATTTGGATTCAAATTAGTTTTCATGTGCATTTAAATTCTGTTGCCGACCTCATTCACGTTCAAAATTTGAGTAGGGGGTGTAAGAGCATGATAAGGTTGCGATACTTTTGCTCTTTGGGGTTTTTTTTTTCTCCCTGGTTTCGGTTAGAGCGTCCAGTTCCGATTTCATGCTGCTTTGTTTGCTGGGTCAACGAGCCACGTGCGGAGACATTCAAAGCGCATATCAATGATAAGACCACCAAAATCTCAAAATATCCACCAATTAGCTTGGTCGGACCGAAATGCCGACGGCTTCACTAAAATGACCGTAACGATTCAAACAGCGTCACGGGCCCTAAAAACGTGCTCAAAATAAGTGTGACAAATGGAAGATTATCGGGTGAGAGGAGCAGCGTGAGCAGCTGAGTTTATTTGTTGGACGACTTTAGAGGCGCGCAAGTTCTCATTTTATTGCATCAGATTTGACTCCACCGTTGGAAGAGGCCATTCAATGTTTTTTTTTTGTTTTTTTTTTTTAATCCTGACGTCGCCGTGATGCATGTCCCAGATGTGACACAAAATTGACACAGTGTCATTTGATACTCGCGTCGCACAGACCGCCCGAGTCAGGTCTGCAGCTGAAATTTGTCGTGCGCAATGGCAAAAAGGAAGTGGCCTTACATTTGTTTCTGGTTGAATGTGATCCTCGCAGGTTTTGATGAGCGAGACACGGACCTGTTTTTGTGCGACACCAACACGTGCAAGTTTGACGCCGAGTGCCTACGAATTGGAAACATGGTGACTTGCATTTGCGACTTCAAGGTAAGATCCCGAACGGGCCCGCTTTTCTTTTCCTTTTCTTCGTTTTTTTGGGTGGGTGGGCATCAGCATGTTTTGCGACTTTGTTTTTTTTTGGGGGGGGGGCAGGGGGGGGGTTTGCACGGGATGCAACTTTACAGGAAGATTACTGTGACCACTGTCACATGCCTCAATGGTGAATCTAAAATTGTTTTCGTTTTTTTTTTTCCCTGTGTGGATTCGCACAACAGCTCGGCTCAAATGTTTTTGTACGGTACGCAATTCTCACTCACCTGTGCCTCATGAGAGAAAAGGGGAAGCAACGCTTTGTCTCTGTGCGGCCCGGACACAAATGGGCCGAGGCCCAATATCGGTCCGTGGACCGGTGGTTGGAGACCCCTGCCCAAGAGGATCAAAGTGCTGCATTTCAATGGAACCCAGTGTGATTGAAACAATCCTCTCGATGAAAACCGAAAAAAAAAAACGTCCAAATCAAATCTTTTTCAGCTGAGCTCCGTCACTCGAAAGCCATCACCCCCGAGTGAAGATAATCACCCCTCGGAAAGCCAAGCGACGGTATGAAACGAGGCCGGTTTATGGCTTCTTGTGAACCCCCCCACATCGCCGCCACGGAGCGCCGTGCTCCGCCGCAGTCGTAAACAACCTTGACACTGATGAGACCGAAGACTGAAAGGAGCTCGTTAATAACATAAATCCTAGGAACTCCGCTATTCTTGATAATGGCTCGTACTTAACTTTATGACCAGATCTATCATGGAAAAAAAAAAAAAAAAAAAAAAGCAGCGAGCTAGTCTGCTGACTACTGATTGGCACAACGCTTGCGTGTTGAGATAGGCAATGAATGCGCTCAGATAAAGGAAGATCTGTCGATGCGATACGTACGACGGATACAGTACGACGGCGCGCGCCGACAACCCATTGCGGTCACCTGCCGCACTTTTTTATCTCACTTTTGTACTTCACTAAGATCAACATGAAGAGAGAGCTGTAGATAAATGACGTTACGGCGCCATTCGTCTTCGGGAACTCGTATGCCGATAACGCTATCGGGTGATCTCGGGCAATCGGCAGATTGTATGAGAATGTCCAAGTTCAGACCACGGGTTCACGTCGGTTGCTGGGGAAGACTCAAGATGACGACTTTGTTCTTCCATTCGAATCGCGTGGGACCTTTTTTTTTTTTTTTCCCCGAGCTTGCATTGAAAATAATCAGCATGGCATAAAATTGTTCCAGACTTTTTTTTTCCCCGCCCCAAAGTCAACGGTTCGTTCAGAACTGTCAGATAAGATATTCAGCTACCGTCGAGATGAAACGGTAACGAATATGACTGCCGTGACCAAAAACGATCACGTTATCGCCGTTAGTGACAGCGGAATAATTTGGACAAGATTGGATCAAAGTTCTGCGAGGTGGACTTTTTGCAGACTTGTCAATGGCGACAATTGAAAATGAATTTCCCTGCATGCCAGGTGACAAGTCAAGCACGTGACATCATAACAGGAACAAGTTTTGCTGGACGGACTCGCAACCGGGATCCAATCGAATCCAATCCAGCTTTTGAAACAACAAAGTCGAGCAAAATGTGAACGTGGTGACAACGCACCTCGAGGGACATCACAAATCTCAACCATGAATTGGAAAATTGAGCGGGCCGCAACACAGCGACACCCAGAATACAAAGAGGAGCCGTTGACAGAACTGTTTAGTGTCCGGGACGCTAAAGACACGATGAAGGACCATGAAACATTACAAACCCGCCATACGAAGTGTTTAATATTTTACCCGAGAGCCGTTTCATCCCTCATATCCGCTATTAGTTTGTTTCCTATTCTGAATTCGTCCACGGATGAGGGCGCTCCGTTTCTTTCACGTGAACAAATTCAGAGGAAGAGACATCTGAGGCACCGGCTGAAGAAAAAGTGAGTTTGACGTGGCGCAATCAATGGAGGTCATTCATTGCAAAGATGAATTAGATTCACGTCACACGTTCTCCCCGCCACACTTTCTCCCCGCTCGGGTCCAACGCGTAAGCAGGAGCCGCCATCTTGCCCACTTTCAACTAGTTGTCTGGCTCCAGCCAAACCTTCCGCGGGTGAAATGTTTCCATGTACCCCGAATGATGCGAACATCAGTCAAACGTGAATCCCATGTGTGAAGAGTTCAAACCCAAATTTAGGGGAATTTGGTCGAGCGTTTTTTTTTTTGTTCATTTCCAGGTTAACGCGAATCCTTTTTTATTCAGGTTAAGTTATACAGAGGGCGGCACGGTGGGTGACTGCTTCGCACGTCCGCCTCGCAGTGCACAAAGTGTAGGGTTCGATTTCAGTGCCTGCGTGGCTTTTCTCCGGGTACACCGGCAATTTCCTCCCACGTTCAAAAAAAAAAAAAAACATGCACGGCAGGTGAACTCAGCACCCGAAATTGCGATTGTGAGCGCGAATGGTCGTTGGTCTACGTATGCTCTGCGATTGGCCGGTAACCAGTTGAGTGTGTACCCCGCCTACTGCTCGAAGACAGCTGGAATCGGCACCCCTCCTAAGGATAAACCGGATCAAGTTACGGATGGAAGTTATACCGATGAAGTAATTGCAAGGCGAGTTTAATGTCATTCCATCAGCGGGTGAATGAGGAAATTGTGTTTCGCGTCACAGCGAAAGGCTGAGAGCAAAACACTGGGCCAGGGTCAACTGAAATGTGTTTGTTTTGGGTACGTGAGGTCGCAATCAAGCCCATTTCAGACGCTCGAATACTTGACAAAGGCGTCGACTGTTTTGGTACGTTTCGCCAAACCGGCAGCACGTTGCCCACATTTGAATAGCAGACATCCAACGCGGAGCGGTGGCCGGTGGGCGGATTAGCGAATCTTAATTTATGTAAACCCTCTCGACTTTGCAGTCAGGGAAAGTTGAATGGGAGCTCCCTTGAACATGGCTCCGCGTGACACCCGAATACACGTTCAGCATGTTAATCCGCACGCGCTCAGCCAGTCTTCCGTCGGCACGGATCGAGAATCAGAGATGAAGCAAGATTTTGGGGCGGGCGCATGCGGTGGCCCCGTGTGTTGTTTAGCTGTGGCCGCCCCCCCCCCCCCCCCCTCTGAGGTCTCATTTTCCGAAAGCTTTGTCATATCCGGGTCGCGATGTCTGGAGGACCGAAGCTCTCTGCGCTTCAAAGAGCTCATGTTGCTTCATGTGATGTTGATGGCCGGGAGTGGAAGGCCAGCGTGTCCTTCATCTCTCATTGAACAAAGGCTCGGGGAGGGGGGAAACATCACTACATATCATGCTGAAAAGATCATCATAATAATAATAAAAAAAAAAAAAGGCAATCCACGCAAAGCCTGTGGGTTTATAACACCTCATTTGAAACAATAAAACACCTCCTATTAAACAGTTTCACACGGGCCTCACTGACGGGGGTAGCAGCCTCAGATGCAGACCTCATTCCATATATTTGCATTCATTTATCAGCTGTTTTTTTCTTTTTTTTTTCTTTTTTTTTTTATCTGGACTGAGCGTTTGTGCAGCGGGGAATTTATTACCTGGGCCAGGCCCCGTAAAAATGTCTCATGATGGGACGGCGAGGAGCATGGCAAGCACTCACCTCAGATGACATTGTGCTGCGACTCGCCTCTGACGCGAGAGAGCTTTACTGTCGGCGGATCTTAGCTGCCAAGTCAAGGGCGGAGAGACCACATGTGTGTGTGTGTGTGGGGGGGGGCAGTTGTTTTGTAAATTTGCCTCATTGTGACATCGCAATCAGTCGAAATTCAGACGCACTGTGAGAAAGAGGCAGGAAGCGAAGGAGTCTTCCTAATTTATGGCAAGCCATCAAAAAAGCCGATTTGCTACAAAAATACAGCCTTGAGACACACGTCTCATTCATAATTAAAATTAGCTGCATCTCAAAATCATGCTTCCCTACTGAAATGAATGGAAAAACAATTTCCAACCCCCTCCTGCCCCACCCCCCAAAAATTCTGGAATTTGTTCTTAAATAGTTGAAATGAATCAAAATATCCCGCAGTGACAAAAGAATGTAAAGAATTTTATTTTGTTTTTGTTTTGGGGATGGGGGGGGGGGCACACCTTTTGCCTCAATTCAATAGGTCTACAGGTGTTGCTCCAGCATTTGCGTTCGAAGATCCAAAGGTCAAATCCATCGGATTTGTTCGCATGGCGTTTTGCATTGATTGTTAGCCTGAGGCTAAATGGCCTTCACAACAGCAGAGCGTTTGCGGTTGTTTCCAATACGTCTACATATCATTTGTTTTATGTTTTGCTTGACAGTAAACAACGGACAGAGTGAAGCCTCTTTTTTTGTTTTTTTTGGATGGATTGCTCACCGACTACCAAACCGCTGCCAGATTTGAGTCCATGATCACCTCGTGGGGCTCATCTCTCAAAATTTTGCTTCCAAGTCCAAGCCAAAGAATCGGCTCAACTCCTCGTATCTCAAGGCACCACTGAAATCCGAATCGATCAGCAGTTTCATCCGGTTCACAGTTCGAAGACGTTTCCACAAGCACTCACATAATACGTCCCTCCAACTTCATCTTTGCAACCACAAAACTGAAAGTCAAGAATTAGGACTGTAAAAGCCATTTGTGTCATCTTTGATATCCCCCGATCATTTTGGAAACGCCTCCAGAAACTAATCAACTGCTGTTATATTGGATTGAGTGGACGGCGCAGAACGTGAACAAAGGAAGCGAATGCATTTGAGAGGCGTTGAGTTGACTCATAAATCATCGTGTTGTGTTTGTCTCGGCGAGATGAGCGGTCAGCACAGCACAGCACCGCACAGCACAGCCCGTCGTCTCTCATCAGTGGAGCCCTTCTGGCGGATCGCCGTCTTCTCGCTGCTTCCTCCCGCTGTTGATTGTGCAATTATCATTACTTGGGTCTTTGATTAAAGCCTTTCTCCCGTGATTAATTAATTCGAGAAATTACGCTGTGAAAATTCCAGTCCGGAGCCAAACAAGCAAGTCAGAATCTCGAAT